TCAGATGGGTTATCTCAGAAGTTAAAACCAGTGTTTGTTGGCTATGAGTGCTTACAGGGAGCCAAGACAAAGATCTGCACTGTGGGGAAACTGAAATATGCTTCCACTGCTAATTATGCACATGAACAGCCCTGAAAACAGGATCCAGGCACACCATTACCATCGCATAGCTTCAGCCCAAATCTGCCCTACTCATATCTGTGTGCTTCCAACACAGGTGGCCAGCACAGCAGCCTTTGCCTTTGCTTTGATGTTCAGAGGTGCCAAAAATCCTCCTCCCTCAGCCAGCCTCATGGCCAGCATGAGATGTGAGCCCTTCTAAGGGATGTGGGGAGGCATCCAGGCATCCTGGGCTCCTGGCCATCCCCTGAGCAGGCTCTCCCAAGGTTTGTGCGAGTGGGGCATCACTTGAAGGGGAAGGTTTTGGCCTTTTGTACTCCAAAGTAAGCTGAATCTGAGGTCCTGAGGCATTAGCTGGATTTCTTTGTGGGTTTGGAAGCAATGTTCCTGCTTGAGGCAAGCAGTTGGCAGCTGTGCTTCAGAAGGGATCTGGCAGTGATGTTCCCTCTCAAATGTCTGGCTATCAGCTTTAAGTGCAATAAGCTTTACACACAGAGGGGAGCATCGTTACTTCCTAAATGAGACAGAATTAGGGGCTTTTTTTAAAGTACTTTTCTGTTCAGGCACCACGTTTGCATCTGTGCATGGACCAGGAGCCACATAAAGAGCATGAATGATGATGATGAGGCTAAAGAAGAGCATGTCCTTGGGGCTGCCTGTGGGAGCAGAGTCCCTGCAGCAAGGCAGGTTTGATGCCTGTTTGGGAGAAGGGGCAGGGAGTTAGTACCAGGTTCCCTGTACATCAGAGAATCCTATTTCCCTCCTTGAGCAGAAAAGATCACAGTGTTGTCAGCACCTGGTGCAGCAGAGAAGGGCAGGGACATCCTATAGGAGAGCTTGGAAGAGTAAGAAAAAGGGCAAAGAAATTGTGATGCACAAACCCCAGAAGCAGTTAAGCCAATTCTGGATCAACAGCCCTGACCAGGACCCTTGGGCATCCTAGCAGGCCTTTTCAGGAGTGTGGTGTAGTGTTAGATGGACATCTACGGAGCATAGGATGGCCAGAGATCCTGTATCCCCACTGCTGGGAGCAGATCTTGGTTGTTCCTTTGTGCCTTCAGGGCTCAGGTTTATCCATCTGGGATGAAGAGAAAGCTGATCCCAGCTCCCCATCCACCAGCCTTGATCAGAAAGGGGGATTTTGAGGGAGTAGTGGGGTTTATTCTAAGGTTTGAACTCATTTGAGAAGCTCTTTATCACATCAGTACCTGATATGAGGAAGACAAGATGAGCCATAAATCAGTGTTCGTAATAGTTCTGTTCATAGCAATGGAGAATGAGGATTATTTTATGTCTCATACTAAAGACAAAATGCATTGTGTTTTACAAACAAGAACAGAAAAGCTATGCCCAGGGAGCCTGGCAAAGCCCCCAGCTCACAGCTGGCACTGACTGGTGTTGTTCCGGAGTACCCAGTCAGATCCACGGCGTCAGTGGAGTTAAACTCATTTAAACCAGGTGAGAAAACAGCTCCCATCGGAGCCCAGGAGGTACCGAGTGCAATGCACAGAGCTTGGCTGTGCTGGGACAGCCGGGGGCAGCCCGGGGCGGGTGTCCCCTCCCGCTCAGGTTGGGTAACCGCGTGTTTGGGATGCGCTGGCAGGGACGGGGCTGTCGAGGGTTATTCAGAGCCCTCGCTGCCTCCTCTGACCCCGGGAGCTCCCTGCCCCTGCTCGCAGTGAGATTTATGGCGCTGTTTTCCTCTCTCCTGGCTGTGCTCAAGCAGCCGAGGGCCTGATCCTTCATGGGGCTGAGCACTCCCTGCTCCTGGAGCGACAGGAGCCAGAGGGGCGCAGTGTCTGTCCAGTTCCCATTGGATTAGGCCAGGATTTGATTCCCTAAGAGGCTTCCTATGCAAAAGTTCTGCTGGAAACACAATTTCTCAGTTAACAGGGGTTTCCTGTGCCTCATTCTAATAGCACAGTGACCCAACAAAACCATCATTGTCATTAATGATAATTGCTTTGCCCTTTTTCCCAAGCTCCTATGGAATGTCCTTGCCCCTCTCTGCTGTGCCAAGCACTAGCCCAGTGTTTACGGTGACAGCACATCAAATCCAGCCATTCAAATGGCCTTTCCTTGAACGACCCCACTGACCTGCAACAGGGACACAATTAAATCAGCTGAGTTGCGTGTCCCATGCCACTTCCCTTCCAGCTAACCTGTCACCTCCTGAGCTCCAGCATCCTGGCTGTCACGCACTGAACACTGTACCTGGGAGCTGAAAGCAGAAAGCAGCAGTGGGACTTACCTGTCCCTGGAGAATATCCCTGTGGATGGAGGAGGACACAGCAAAGCAGATGATGCAAACCAGTTTCTGATGCAAGCCAGTTTCTGACTCTATTTAGAGACTCACTCAGCTCCCCTGCAGCTGAAATGCGCCTCTGGGAAAGGGATCCTTAGTCTGGGAAGGGGGAAAACATAAGACAGTGTTATTTTGTACTCCCTGGAAGGGAGTCCCATGGAGTGTGTGTCCACACTGGTGCTTCTCTCACTTAACATGGCCAAAGCTTGCTTTCTGTCACGAGAAGATAGAGGCTACAAGAGCACCACGGACTCACCAGCTCCCTACCTCTGCCTCAGTGGGCAAGGAGCTAAAACAGCCCTAAAACACTCCATATGGGAGGGAGAAACACCATCCACAGCTACACGGTGGCAAAGCCATGGACCGAGGGCAAATTCACTGCTTGTACAGCAGCTGCTGGGGTCATCCCATCAGCCGGGATCCCCACCCTCTTTGAGACCCACATACAGCTGGTTTCAAAGCTGATCTGTAGTCAGTTTTACAACATAAAGTGTCTTTGTTTAGTCAACAGAACCCCTCGCACATGTGATTTTGTTGTTAATAGAGCCGTAAGAATTTTAAGCACCTCTTGGGAACGTGTCATTTTTTGGTCGGCTTTTTTAGGCATCACAGGGCGCTGCGCTCGCCTTTGTCAACAAGCGCCCTGTGATCAAACGTGTTGCTTTGTACGGGTGCCGTGCAGGTTCCCTGAGGTTCGGAGAGGGTAAATCAGCTGCAGCAGCGGCTGCCTGGTGCTTGGCTTCGCTCCTTATCAATAGCTCGCTTGGAAAACCTCTCCCTGCATGTCACAAGCAATTCAAACGCGGTGCCACGCAAATCAGAACCGCCACAGAACTCCTCTCCAAGCCTGGGGTGCCACAGTAATGCCACAGCCGAGGGCACGTTGGGTCCAGGCTCTTCTCCTTTCCTTTCCTAGGTGATCCTTGGGAAACTCCCAGTTGCTCTGCTCTGGGGAGGAGCAGGAGCCCCATGGCCCTGGGGTGTTGCCTGCACGTAGCCCAGTTCATTCTGGTTGTACTGGTTGGGAGCCGTCATCACTGAGGGGAGAATCAGGACCAGGCTCAGCTGTGAAACCCACCCTACTTTAATAAACACAACATAAAAGCTCTGCTGAAGGGGTTGCTTGTGTCCGGGTCTATTGGCTTTGCAGCACTGGGCATGGGGCACAAACTTGCCTCCTCACAGAGCACAGCGCTGCTGGTCTGGCCCTGCTGTACCCCCACGTGGGATGCAAACTCACCTGGCTCTTAGCACCACGCAGGATCCATCCAAGCCAGCCCAGAGCTCAGCCCCAAGGCTCTAATCCTGGAAGGTGCTGAGTGACTCTGGCTTCTGCCGCTCGTCCCTGGCTTTTGGCACGTGTTCAGCATGAGCAGGATCAGCCCCTTGCTGTAATAATCAGGGGCTGAGGAACTCAGCTTGACTGCATTTCCCCCCCGCCCCCCGATGCAAAAATGCTGTACATTCCTTTATGCAGGTTTCCATAGAGTTGAACTTGTACTATTTTTTTGTCGTTGCTGTTAAAGGGGTCAGCAATGCACTGTACAATGGGATCTGGCTGTCAGGAAATGTGGAGGAATTCAGGGACACTTTTAACATCTTGCTGGTGGGCTCGGAGGGCAGCATTAAACTCGGCATCCTGGAAACCTTCCCCACCAAAGAGAAGCAAAAAAGCCCGGAGGAGCCCCGGGAGAAGCAGTGAAGACGACAGCTTTGTCGCTCCTGAGTTTAAATCAGTTATTTCTTCCCCACTTCCTTCGTTAAAATATGATATTCGAGCTTTAATTGCTTCAATCCTATTACTTGCTCCTTTTAGCAAGTGATTGTGTCGCCCCTTGCCGTGGGGAAATCCCCTGCCCGCGGGTCCGTGTTATTTAGACAAGTACTCTTTCAGAAGTAAATGCCATTCTTAGCATAGGGAAGTACTTTAGGTCTAAAGGGGTTAAGAAGGCCTCCCTGCATTCAGAAACATGCAGGGGTCCCACCATGCCAGTTCCAGCCTTTTGAACTCTTTCCAGCTTTTTTTTCTTGCAACAAATCTGTCTGACTGCCACCAGGACATAGGAAGCGTGTGCCTGTCAAAGAAATCAAGTTTACTTTTTCTGACTTGTTAACAGAGGCAGGGTATAAATAGAGCTAACTCTGCTCAGACTATTAGCGTTTCTCTTAAAATAAGGGGGTAACTTCCTAGGACCTTTAATCCAATGAGGTCCGGACCACGCTGCACTATCAGCAGGGGCAGCGAAGGAGCTTGCTGAAGTTTTTACTGAAGTCAAGTGCATTTGGGTTCCTTGAAAATTTAAGGCTTACAAACAAAGCAAAGCAGCCCCAGGCAGACAAGAAGTACTTCCAGCTCAGTCCCTGCCATTGCCCTGGAGAAGTTCTGAGATGCTGGTGGTGCTGTTCACTCGGTGGATGTGGATCTTGCTGGGGAAGAGCAGTGTCCTCTTGCTTCTGGAGGTCTCTCTGAAAGGGAGAGCTCTACCTCCGATCCGGTATTCCCACGCTGGGATATGCCCCAATGACATGAACCCCAACCTGTGGGTAGATGCACAGAGCACTTGCAAGAGAGAGTGCGAAGCTGACCTGGTGAGTGATGCACGGTTCTACCTCGGTGGCGCGGGCGATGGGGTTTGGTGGTGGGCTGTTTGCACCCGATGGGAAGGGTTGTTCCCGCTGGGAAGGTGCTGGCACCATGCAGGACTCAATGCAGACAGTGCATGTATTTAATTGACCCGTGATCTGTATGAAATAGCAAAGGTTTGATGAGTTATCAGTTAGGTGGGGAGGTGTGTGGCTGCTGTCACTTACGCTGATGCGGGTACAGCGCTTGCTCTGTTTGAGCATTTTCCCTGCTTTCTTGTCAAAAGAAGGGTCCGAATTTGATACTCCAGAACTCAGCATGCCCTGGGGCCAATCCATGGTATTTTAGCAGTGTTGCCATGCTCTTTGTTGTTGGTGGCCATCATCAGTGCTTTATACTCCTGGGAGGAATCCTGAATGAAATGGTTTGATTTAACATGTAAATCATCAGCCTTTGCCGCACTTGAAACACAAAGCGTGCTTGGAGTGCAGAACAGGGGCACAGTTGAAATGACCAGGCAGATGTTCCCTGTGATGCTCCCAGCTCAAAATGTGCTTAGCTTACAACCCCCAGATTCATTTTTCAACCTGTCAGCACTGCCAGCTCAAGCTGGCATCTGAAAATACCTGCTCATCCTGCCGCTTACATCATGTCCAACAGCAAAGCTCCAGCAACATGTACCATGCTGAAAAAAGTCCTTGGGTTTATGCTCTGCAGCCAGGTTGGTTTTGCAATGCTAAAAGGAGTGGAGGAAAAAAAATGATAGAGAAAAATGCTGGCCATCGAGTAAACAAAGACATTTGCTCAGATGGATCCCATGTGTTGCGAATGAAGGTGCTCTTTTTACTTTCACCGTTCCCAAATAAGCCTCCTCTGTTCCAGCTACCAGGTGCAGCAATGGATATAAAAACACTTGCAGAACCCCAGCAGTAGGAGCAGGGGATGATGTTTTAATATTTGACTGGTCAAAAACCAAAAGCCAGAAGCCACTGGTTAAAAATACTTGCCTGCAGTGAGTGCTCTGTGAGCACCAAGGACTCTAAAGAGCCACGCTCCTCAACCTCAGCTGAAAACGTTACCCATTCTGGTTTCTGACTCTGCTTCTCAAACCCAGCAATGTGCAGCTGGAAATGGGGAAAGAGTTATGTTATTAGGTCATCTTTTTCCCAATAAGGAAAGGACACTGGACTCAGGGGAAGCTTTTGGTTTGGTAGCTTCAGAAACATTTTGTTCTCACTTATGGAGAAAGCTGCTGGGTTTCGGGGGGGTTCTAGGGGTTTAACACATGGTGGAAGTGTGCCCCGTTGGGTACATGGCACCAGTGTTCGTGGTCCCTTAATCCATGACAGCCCAGCAGCTGTGATCACACGTATCAAATACCTTTTCTGCACAGAAGATGAAAATTCTGCTAAAATTAACTGCAATTTAGAGCTGACTATAGCTGAGATGGGGTGTAATAAATCACTACAAGAGCGATGATGCATTTGAAAATAGGACTAAAATAGGACAGAGAAGCCATAATGAGCTGTTTTGGGTTTGTTTTCCTAAATACCATAGAAAAAAAGTATTTTTGGAGCAAGAATTTCCTTACTTTTGAGATATTCTATTATTTCCTCTACAATGTGAACAATTACAAATCCTTGGCAGTTTCACCTCCAAGAGTAGGCTGTTAGTCTCAGGGAATTCAAATAATACTTTACATACTTCTGTGGAAAATAAGAAGGATTACTGCCTACAGCCATATGATAAGACTTTCCATCCGCTTTTGTTTCTCAGGCCTTGTCCTCAGGCATTTGGGAGAGTGCAGAAGGGGGGTTGTTGGTTCAGTAGTTGAGCAGTCCATGTGACTCTAGGGAAGAATTATGATGAGGTTAGTGTTTAAGAAACAGAAATTCATTTTCCCCCTCAAAAGTCTTCTCCTGAAGCACTTGGGACACCCAGTGTGTTTAGAAACCACTCAGGAGGTGCTGGGGGGATGTTTCTATTCATTACTGGGGATATTGGGTTTCAGACCACAGATCCCTGTGGCAGACCAGGACCCTTGAGTCAACACCTTGGGAGTTTCTGGGCTCCCTGCTTGTTGGGTCTCTAAAAAGGACTTTGCTCTGCCCCCAGTAATGACTGGGCTGTGTTCTTTCCCCACAGGAGTGTGAGACCTTTGAGAAGTGCTGCCCCAATGTCTGTGGAACAAAGAGTTGCGTGGCAGCTCGGTACATGGACGTCAAGGGGAAAAAAGGGCCGGTGGGAATGCCCAAGGAGGCAACTTGTGACCGTTTCATGTGCATCCAGCAAGGCTCAGAGTGTGACATCTGGGATGGGCAACCCGTCTGCAAGTGCAAGGATAGGTGTGAGAAGGAGCCGAGCTTCACCTGTGCCTCTGACGGGCTCACCTACTACAACAAGTGCTACATGGATGCAGAAGCTTGCATCAAAGGCATTACACTGAACGTAGTCACCTGTAGGTACCATCTTACCTGGCCAAACACCAGCCCTATCCCACCAGAAACAACAGCTCGCCCTACTACTGCTTATTCCGAGACAACAGTCGTTGATATCTTGCCCCCTGCTCTGGTGAACAACCCCATCCATCAGTCTGTCTATGTGGGAGAGACCGTCAGCTTCCTCTGCGACGTCACAGGGAGACCCAAGCCAGAAATCACATGGGAGAAGCAGGTCGATGGGAAAGACAAAGTCATCATGAAACCAAATCACGTCAGAGGGAACGTTGTGGTCACCAACATCGCCCAGCTGGTCATCTACAACACCCAGCTCCAAGATGCTGGCATCTACACCTGCACAGCCCAGAACAGCGGTGGCCTTCTCAGGGCTGATTTCCCTTTGTCAGTCATCAAAGGGGAACCCACGTCCAAGGAAGCTTCCCAAAACAAAACACATTTTCCAACCGATGAGTGCCTGAAGCAACCGGACAGCGAAGATTGCGGGGAAGAGCAGACCAGGTGGTACTATGATGCAAAGAAAAACAACTGCTTTACTTTCATCTATGGGAACTGTAACAGCAACCTCAACCACTTTGAGACCTACGAGAACTGTATGTTAACGTGCATGAACGGCCCCATCAACATCTGCAACCTGCCAGCCCTCCAAGGGCACTGCAAAGCCTATGAGCCCCGATGGGCCTACAACAGCTTGACGAAACAGTGCCAGTCCTTCATCTATGGCGGGTGTGGAGGCAATGAGAACAACTTTGAGAGCAGGGAGGCCTGTGAAGAGATGTGCCCTTTCCCAAAGAACACGCACTGCAAAGCTTGCAAACCACGCCAGAAGCTGGTGACCAGCTTCTGCAAAAGTGATTTTGTTATCCTGGGCCGGATAACAGAGCTGACGGAAGACCAAGACTCGGGACATGCCCTGGTGACAGTGGAGGAGATTCTCAAAGATGAAAAAATGGGATTAAAATTCCTGGGCAAAGAACCCCTAGAAATCACCCTCTTGAACATGGACTGGAGCTGCCCATGTCCCAACATGACCACGGTGGATGGCCAGCTCATCATCATGGGAGATGTCCACAACGGCATGGCTGTCCTGCAGCCAGACAGCTTTGTGGGCACCTCCAGCATCCGGCGCGTGCGGAAGCTCCGCGAAGTCATCCATAAGAAAACCTGTGAGCTTTTGAAAGAGTTCCTGGGATTGCATTAACCTCCTTCACACGTGGCAGCCTCCCAGACCCATGTGTTACGTAGGGCTAACAAGCGCTAGGCTAGAGCACCAACTAAACAAGCTGCTTGAAGATCCACTGTAGGGATTATGCAGAACCTTTCTTTTAATCCATTAATGATGCTTAGCAACAATGTAGTATGGTCTTTGGCAAGCACGTAAAACAGCAGCAAAAGGCTATTAATCTCGCATTGAAATCAATTTGTCCATATAGAAGTACCATTTAACTAGATGACTCACTGCAGTAATTAGACAAGTTTTGTGTAGCTTCCATCAGAAATGACGGAATTCATAGCATTTGTTTAGCTAATTGGAACGCAGCTCAAGTAATAGCTAATGTCAACTTAATCAGGCTCATTTACAGTATGGAAATGCTATGGTAAGTCTTTACAAGTAAGTCACATGCTTGTCTCCTTATAGCAGCACTAGTATTTCAAGAGAAAAGCTTGTAAATTATTGTCTGTATTTACAACTGTGCACATTTAACCGATCCACGCAGTATGAATTTGCTTCTTGTAACTGAAATCTTCCCAGCTGTTTTCTTTGGAACGTACCTTGTTTTTAAATGGCAACTACTACCTATCTTGCAATCCCTACCGGATGAAAATCTCCCTTGATCCTATGCCCAGGACAACAGGTCCCTGTAGAAGCTCAAGGCACATTCTCACCCTGAAATGACTTTTCAGTCATCAGAGCAAGGTCAGCAAACACCCTCGTTGCATTGCACTTCCCTATTTTTGCTTTAATCAGTATATTCTCTATCACAAAAAGTCCAAGGCAGAAGGATGGCAGTGTGCTGCCAGTTGTCCTGCTTGTGAAAACCCTTTACACCTGAGCTCGTGCAGCAAGGTATTGCTTATTTTCATTAGAAATCCTTCTTTCGTAGGGGAAAGAGTAAAGCAAGAGGAGTCAGAACAGAATTCAAAGGGCAATATGCACTCTGCAGACTGTGTTACACAGACACAGAGCTGCTGAAACTGAGCTGCAGACACAGACACACAGAGGGGACACTCTTTAGAGGCATTCATCAGCGAGACCCTGTCAGAACACTCCTTCAAACCACAGCAAACATTCCCCTCCAGGCCACTGTATATATACACATATGTTTAAATACCCCAAGAACAGCAGCAGGGGCTGTGGGAGTGAGCGTGTGCATACACATAGGATCGATCACTTTAACGTTTGTGTGTCCCCAGCAGTGTAACATTTGCCTATGCAGAAATCCTTAAATAAAGAGAAGGCTGATCCTGGAAAATCCCTGCTGAGGACGGTCCCTGCAGGGAAGAGGGGCGAGCGTGGCATGGAGAGCCTTATCGTTGCTCTTTGTTCCGTGGGTGCAGCGAGTTACTACGGCGGTGCCCAGAGCTTTCTGCCTTGCACAAAAGGCCAGCTCAAGGCTGGACCAGTGTCAAGACACGTCTGGGTGAGAGGAAGGAAGGTGCAGTGAGTTTACCCCATGGTGCCATCTAACGGGCTTGCATCACGGGTTGGTGCCCAGTGCTGGGGATGCAAACATGTGTTGGGGCTTGGTATGATAAGGGAAAGAGATTAAATAGGCAGATGCTGGCCTTCAGCATGATGTGTGGGGCTCTAAGCCCCCTGAAGGCTGTGCATGGTGGGGATTTTGCTGTTCAAGGGAGAAAGCGAGGATAACAACATTGAATATGAGTCCAGCTCTGGTTCCTGTGAAGGCTTTCCATGCAGCATTGGCAGCTGACCCATGGACAAAGATGACAGCGTGATGGAGAAGTGGGTTCCTCTCCCAGTGGTCTGGCCTTGGGTTATGCCCAAAATGCTCTAAAACTCCAGTTATTTGTAGAACTTCAGAAGCTGGGTGGCAGGGAGAGGAGCCCAGATCAGATTTGCTGAGCAAGAAAACACCCACTTGGGTTTCAGTTCTACCTTTCCTATGGGAGAAAAACTCCAGTTGAAGACCCATACTGCTTGTGCACGTCCTTGTGAAGACCACTGGGAGATGCCCTCTGAAGCAGTTGGCACCTCACCCGGATCATCCCTGGCTGTGACAAGTGCCGCTGTTCCGATGGCTCCTCTGTCATTTTGCAAGCGAGCCGTAGGAAGTGGCATGTTCCTGCCATCCTTTTAACACAGCAGCATTGGAGAGTGGTTTAATAAAGAATGGCTTTATATGGCTCTTTTTTTTCCCCCCAAAAGCTAAGGGATTTTGCAAGTGTGGGAGGGTTGGAGGGACTCGGGAGACATGCACTCAGTTGTTCCAGAAGAGCTGGGATGTAAATGGAGCTGAGAAGAGAAAGCACACGATTCATTGCTCCTCCAGCTAGCACATTACAGTGCTTAAGCCTGGGGTGTAAAATGCCATCTTAGCTTTTACTCCTGGTTGGAACCCTTGGGAAGTAAGCATGCATGCTCACTGCACTCTTAAGCACGCATGGTCTGCTGCAGTTCTGGTGCGTGAGGACTTCATTGCATGGGGAACGTTTTGGGTCAGTTTTCCAATGTGGTGCAGTGGAGGAAGGACACTGACCAGGCCAGCCCAGCTCCCAGACACAGAACAGCCACACTTGCGTAGCTCCCGCCCAAGCCTGTGGGGTTCTGAGCCCTGTGCTGCCTCTAGGATGGCACTGCAGAAGTGCAATGGGCGTCCCCTTGCCTGCTTACTGGGCCATCCTGGGAGCACCACACCTCCCCATGGCACAGGACTAACCCTCTCCACCTTCTGACCTTGAAGAATGTAGCTCTCCACTCAAAGCTAGTATTTCAGTTCAGCCTCTTATTAAACCCTTAAGAAGCCTAAAATTCAAGTCTGACCAGTCAGCCCGCCTGAGGAAAATCTACACACAGGGCAAGCACTGGAGGATGTTGTTAAAGCCTTTGCAAGCCTAATAGGTACTTGCATGCAGCTCCTGATCAGAAAATCCCTTTTGTATTGCTCACGCACTCGGTTTTCCACCCTGCTCTCTGGGCACATCTCTCGAGGTTGTCAGAAAGCTGGGAGGCAATGCCAGTGTTTAAAGTTTGCATTAAATATGTGCAAGGCAGAGACACAGGAAAGCCTGATTGACTCCTCTCCTTGCACAGCACCATTGTGGGAAGGGGCAGGAGTGCCTGCGTGAGGCTCCAAGGAAGAGCTGGAGGAAGGATGCCAGCTCCATGTGGCCATGGCCAGTGGCCACTGTCAAAGCTCTCCTCTATGTGCAGACACTGGCCAGGGGAGCAGCAAGGGAGCAGACCCAAGACAGCTGGGTCCAAGACCTGCAGGAGCTCCCCAGGATGGATGCGATGGATACTTGTGGGAGGCAGATGGAGAGCGCAGCACAACGTGCCCACCTCCCAGTCTGCAGTGAAGATGTAACGTGCAACACATAAATCTGCAAACCCTGCAGCTAAATCTCAATGGAAACCAGCATATGGATCCAAAAGTGAGTCACAGGTTATTGTGCAAACTGCGCAGCCCAGCTCTATTAACAGGGGAGAAAAATAGCACTGAAAAAGTGATGGCTTGCCCAGGCTGTTAGAGCATGTCCAGGCTACATATAGAGCCTGATGCATTTGTACAGCTGGTGGTGCAGGGCATGAGGGCCCCCTGTGAGCACGCATGGAGAGATGGCTGCATGATTACTCAGAGATAGGATCCTGCATCACTGCAAAGCCCAGAGCAGCTGAGGTCAAAGGGAAGAGGGAATTCTCATTGCAGGGCCTTGAGGTGAGGTCAGGCAGAAGACTTTATAGGCATCCAGCTCCAGAGCTAGGAGCAAACAGAGGTGATGACGCTCTGGAATATGATTCAGGCAGCAAAGGTATTTAAGAGCTTAGTTCCCAGTTGTTTCAAAAGGAATTAGGGACCCCTGTCAGAATTACTACCTGGCCATGGGTCTTGGTTCCTGAAGGAGGTGGCGGATGAAGGTCATGAAGGAATGACTTCCTTCATAAGGACGGGTAATTCAGCTGGCACCAAATTAGCGCCTTGCACCACAAGACCCGCTTCCTCCACCCAGAGCACGCTGCACCCTGGACTGCTGTGATTCAGGCGGTGTGCACGTGCTGTGGCATTCCCCATGCAGGTAATTACCAGGAGGAGCCCGTGGCCAGGCTGGGTTTCTGCACAGAGCCAGGTTTCCAAAGGCAGGGCTGGGAAAACATCACCCTGAGCGAGAGCTTCGAGTTTAGAGCCCGTGTTTTTAGACCAAATATTTAGTGTTTTCCCCTTGGCCAGCACTTGTTACTGATTGACTACAAGTGACCTCCAACTGCCGTATTGATTTACAGAGGCTGTCAAAGGACAAATGAGCCCCATGGCCAGGACCTGAGAAACAGCCTGAACGGAGCTCGTGCAACTGAATAAGAGTCCTTCCAGCTCTTTAAATCTTGATAAAGGAAAGGAGAAGTCAGCTGGAGCTCCTGATCTACAACGCAAACACTGGTGCCATGTGAAGATAACGCTGCGGCACTGGTGGACATATCCATTAGCCAAAAAAACAGCGCAGCCTGTTTAATTCACAGCTATTTATGGCTGGGCACATGATGTGATATTCAGGCCTGAGTGTTTAAAAAGCAAATGGAAAGTCTTCCAAAGGCTGTTAGGGGGTTCAGAGTCAGGAAACTCTGTGATTTTGGTGTTTTCTGACCCATTCTCGTATGTCCCAGTGATGGGAAGAAATGCAGGAGGGAAGGAAGAGGCTGGAGAAAAGAGAAAGAGGAAAAGATTCCTTTAGAGGGAGGAGGGGGAGCATTGTTTCACCTTAACCTGGCATGACAACATGGTAGTTGGACTGGATCAACTGGCATGAGAAGGAGCTACCCATAAAGGGGTTTGTGCGTTCTCTTCCTCCTTCCCTCCATTCCTAACACACCCAAACCAAGGGGTAGTATTGTAACACATGTAAAGGACACGACTTCCTCTACTGCTTGAAATAAATAGAAACCCAACAGTAATAAATACCCAGGATGAGATTGCATTCACCCAAGGGTAAAAGTGCTCACATGAAAAATCGCTTAACCATTAACTGCAGTGGATAACCTTTGCTTCAGTCTGTGGCAGGACCAGAGGTGGAAAACATGGGGCTAATTTTAGAAAAGGGTTCCTAGGAGCTGGATATGAAAGCCTTGCACGTCTGGTAGAAGCTGTAATAGAGGATAAAAGTCACAGCTGAATGATAAATACGATGGAAAGCGCCTGTGGCCTTTAACAGAGGGAAATGATGCTCCCGAGCACTGAACTTTCTCTGAAGCAATGATGAGGACAGAGATGGTCCAGCTGATAGAGCTGACTTGGATGGAGGCCTCAGAGTAACTTCCTCACCCAAGGCTTTTGAAGACATCTAGCTGTCCTGCTGGGAGAGGCAAGGCAGCCCCTGGAGCCAGCAACTGGTTGAAACATCGGAAAGAAAGGGTGAGACCAAAAGGTCAGTTTCCACAATGGAGGGAAGTCATCGGCAGCATCCCAGGGGACCTGTGCAAGGCTCTGGGCTGCCTGATGCAGATGGTCTGGAAGAGGGATGGGTTACAAAGGTTGTTGTTGAGATCAAGTTATTTAGGGCTGCAAAACCACAAGCTGGTTGTAAGGAGCTCTAGAGGGGCATTGTAATACCAGGTGTCAGGATGATAAAACAGCAGATGAAATGCAATATTGATTCATATACGCATCAGGGGGGAAAGCAAATCCTAGCTGTGTGTTCCTATGATAGCTTCAAACAAACTGTTCCCATTTGGTCCACTCTCACATGGATCTGACCAGGCTGTCCAGCCCAGCCTGCCCCCAGCATGCAGGCAGCCCTCTGAGCAGGCCCTGCACATCACACCTCTCAGAACAGCACCAGCAGCTTGACAACTTGCAACACTCCCATTTACAAGCACAAAAGCCTACAGACATCCAGGAAACCCAGCAGCACCTGCACACCCTGCTCAGACCCGGTTGGCTACTACCTTGCTATACAAATGCTCCTTGCTATGAGAGATGTGCTCCTCAGATCGCTGGAAAAATCTCAGCCACATCCCAACCCCATAAAGCCAAATCTCATCAAAATAGGAGCCTTACCTCCACCTGTCTCCACAAGCACACACTGGTGCGGCAGGAAGGACAACGGTCACAGTCACAAATCCTTCCAAATCTGGAGCCTGGAGTCTTTTTAAAAGTTGCTTCCAGTTCCTGCATCTACGGTGCTTGGGAATCACAAAGCTCCATCCGGTAATGACTCCAAGGCTGGCCTTGGCCAAGTCACTCCATGCTTGGATGGAAAGCAAGGTACAAGCAGGATATTATACACAGCAGTGGGGCAGAGGAGATCCCACTGTCCTTAGCAGGACTCGCCATACAAATAGGTAGGGTCAGGTTCTCCATCCAACATGTAATTTAATTACATGAGCCACAACCAAGCACCGGCACCCAACATGCAATAACAGCACCATGGAGGACCCAGGGTCTTCCCCACACTCCCAAAGGGTGCAAAGAAAGAAAACCAAGCAAAACTCCCCCCTCAGCCCTGAAATGACGTCAGATAGCTGGGAACTGGGGCAGGAGCACCCAGCTACTCCCTGCGCCCGACACGAGGTGGCGTGTGGCATCACGGATTGGGGACCTCGCAGGCACCGCTCTGCGCATCCTGCTCCGGGGTTGCTTTGCCTTTTGAAGTGCAGCATCCCCCGGTTGGGGTTGGATTCGCCTCGCCCCAGTTAATCAAACTGCTTCTCACACACGTGGCTGAAGGAGTTGGATTTTCCAAGTGGAAAGCAGCTCGCTCGGAGCAGGATGGCTGGTTCTGTTCGACTGATTTAATCCTTGTTGGGTTAGTAATCTATCAGGAGAGATTTGGGGGTTTATCGGGGGGGGGGATGGACATAGCAGGGATTGTGATAAGGCAATCAAATCCATTTCCAGAGCTGCAGGAAAAAGGCACAATGTATAATTTATTTGAGGCTTTTTCCTCTCCCTGTTTGCAGATTGCACAGTTTCTAAATATATTGGTCCAGTTATTCAGAATTATTCATGAATCTCTTCAGTGAATAATACTTGACCTGCAGATCATCCCAAAAGTGAATATTGCAATCAGAGTCTCCCTTTCTGCTGTGATTTGTTGTAGCTAACAGATGTACAGTACTCAGGTAATTAACTCAGGACGAAACTCCAATTGTAGATTTGATTATATTATTTGCAATTCACAATTTTTACTGCGCTAGCTCACTCCAAAAGTCATCTCATCAAGAGACGGGCGAAAGGATCTTATCTCTGGCATAATGGAACTGCTGCTTTTATCAGCTGGTTTGGGGTTTTGGGGAAGGAGCAACCAGAGCATCAGTGCTGGAGGGGCTGGATGTGGGTACAGCAGGTTTGACCACAGTCAGCAGAGAAAAAACATAGATTAAAAGGGAAAAAGTTAATGGCTTTCTCAGATCTACTCATCTATCAGGTGTGATAAACAGGACTTACACCAAAATCCCCTTATCTGTCAGGTCTCTGATGGTGCTGAAGATACCATGGTGGGCATTTTTCTCCTCGACTGTCCAGCCCACATCTGTGCTTGGTTTTACTTAATGTGTTTGTATTATGGGGCTGCCTAGAAGGGGCCACACTTTGCAAACAGTGATGGAGTGCTGCAACTCACCTGTGTGGAGCATACAGTCCAAGCAGATGGGTGACGGGATGGAGCAAGTGGTCCCTCGGTGCCTCTGCCCAGTGGAACATCCTTGGTCTTGGCCATAGAGGCTGGAAGGGCTGAACCACCCTTCTGCAACCCCTACTTGTTGGCCTGTCAGTCCCAGCAATATCTAAGCGTGCTGGCAAACAGGAGCATTTAGGTACCATGAGTCACATCTCCCAGCATCACTTTGGAACCTTGTTATAGCTCTTAAATAAATAAATTCTTGGGTGTTGCGATCACCCTTTTCATTTGCCTTTGGATGGCAGAGCCTTTCAGCGATCCCTTTGCCACCACCAGCATTAAACTCTTTTTCTCACTTTTATTTGTGAATGGAAGTTTAAGGCCTCACTTAGCCACAGAATCTCCAAAGCAGGAGCTTTTTGGAGCTCTATCAATCCTGATGAGACCCACAGGAGGGTCAGGAGGAGCAGGGTTGACACCTAGGGACTTCCCATGAGCATTAAAAAGAGATGGGATGCTCTGATGCATTTCCCTTGGGTAGCAGCTCTTTGCTTGCTCGCTGAGGGTGTTCTGGGAGGGAAGTGGGGTTTTGGGGATGGTCTTTTTGGCTTGGCTTTTGTTTTGCCTGCAAAAGCCTCTGTGGCTCAGCAATGTGTGCCAGCCAGGAATCCTGCCCCACAGCCACCACCAGCCTCATAAGGACCATCACCCCTCATAAGGACCATCACCCAGCACCTCCATCATGGGCACCAGGAACAGATTCATCCCACAATGCCCTTCTAAATGTGTTACTTGCCAATTTCTCATGTTTAGCTATGGGAGTTTTTCAGCAGACAGAAATTGAAGGAGGATTTGCTGCTCCCACCCTGGCAGGAAGATTTACACCTGAGCAAATGATTTGTAACAAACACTGTGCAAGATAGATGGAGCTGCTTCTCTTGTTCACAAATTATTCACAGACCACGGGCTTGGAGAGGACGGAATTTTTCCCCTTGCTTTGTAAAATACACACACATGCATTTTTTTATCATTATTTATGGCCATTTTTACTGTAAAAACCACTCCTGAGAGCATCTTTTGCAGAAATACTGCAGCTCACAGGTTGTTCAGTTGGCAATCTGGAGACAGGACAGGTCTGGGGGCTGTGGGGTTTTTTCCTTCTTCATGTTTTTAGTAATTGCCTTGACCAGTGAGGCTTCCATCACGGGTTTGAGCCTCTGGCCATTACAAGGTCATAGAGTTTAAGTTCCTGCCCTCCCCTTTTCTTTTCTCACCAGGCTGCTCAAGTGAGCGTATCGCAGGAACAGCGCCTGGATTTTGCTGGGCGAGCACAGCTCCTTAAATCAAGCTCCAGGGCAAACGCTCATGCCCGAGCATCTGAGATTGCATTCTGCAAGCATTCCTGAGCCGGGTGGGAAAAGTGCTGCTTGTGGAAAGGATTCTGGCGAGAAGGGGGGTTTCTGGAGCCTCAGGGGTCATCAGAGGAGGAAGCGGTGGGAGATGGACACATAACTAGAAACAGGGACCCCAGGCGAGGTTAGACAGAGACTTGGGTGACGTGGGCTAGTGTGAAGCATCCCTGTCCATGGCAGGGGGTTGGAACTGGATGACCTTAAGGTCCTTTCCAACCCAAATCATTCTATGATCCTATGATTCAGACACCCTGAAGAACTCAGAAGGGTACTTCTGCGTAGGCCCTTGGGTTTGCTTCTGTTCCATATGTCCCATATAAGGGTCTAGTTTTTCTGGCTAGAGATTTCTTTTCCCTACTTCTTCATAGCTAGAATTAAAATGCACCTCCATGTACCTGGCAAAGCAGTGAATGGGGCAGGTCCCCAGTCCAGCTGTGCTATGGTCATATGTAATCTGGAGTTTTCCTTCTTGGCCAGCCAGGGAAGTGAAGCAGCTCCAAGCCTTGCTCTTTGCGTAGCTGCATCCTGAAGGAGTCATACAGCCCTATGAAATGGGCACTGCTGCAATCTGCCTTATAGCATATAGCAGGTCATTGCAAGAAAAGAAAGACAAATACCAGATTTGAAGATCCAGATGCTGCTAGGTGCTAACTAGGTCACTGTGCAAATCCCTTCTTCACGGCTCATGTGCTCCAGATGTGAGCTTGTGTGTCTACGCTACTCATCGATTTGTGCAAATCATGTAACATGTAAAACTCAGTGGCCTGTGAGCTGAGTAAATACACAATTAGTCTGTGAATCCATTATTGGTAGGAGCAGCTGGGCTGCTTAAATAAATGCATTTGCAAACTCCTCTAGGTCTGCTTCCAAAAACACCAGTGTGTTTATACAAGATGGGGTAGCCAGGCTCCTACACTCTCTGCTCACCAAACCTTCCCTGGCAGGGGTTCAGGTGCTTTCAGTTCTGCACAAAGAACATCTGAGCATGAATACATTTTTGCAAACAGAACTAAAACTCTTTTGATTTGCAAAGTACAAGCCAAGCACTGTCTGTGTTCACCCCCTGCTCACTGGGAGCATCAGTAATGGGTCAGGCTGAGGCAGAGCAAAATAGACACGGCATAAAAATACCCACCATGACCTGGTCCTGCAAATGCTGAGTAACTTTATGCTCTGGAGCAGAAGTGCCTTGAAACAAAAATAATACACTCATTCCTGCTGGAGCCGCACATAGACTGGGGTTAGCAAGGAGTGGAATAAAAAGCTACGTTTCCCGTTATTCTGCTGTTGCATCCTCAGCTGACAAACCCAGTCAATGGGTTTGCTTTGTGGGTGCTTGGGTGGGGGTTGCTCATTCACCTGGGGGAGCCCATTTCCAGCCAGCTCTCTCACTACCACAGAGCCTGCAACCCAGGCACCCTGGAGAGGAGGAGGAGGAAGAGGAGGAGATGAAGGGCTCACGTGGCTCCTCAGCTGCCTGCACAGCACCACGCTGGTGGTTTCAGCCCCGTTCCCACAGCACAGTCGCTGAGGGCAGGCTCTCAATGGCCACCTTTGTTGGCAGCCACAGGCAGGAGCGTGCTGGCTGCTGACGTGGCACCCGCCTGTGTCACCTTGCCCTGTCCCCTGCTCTGGGAGCACAGGGAGGCTGCACCAGGGGCAGAGCCCTGCCTTTGGCCACAAGCAGGGGCTCAGGGCACCTCCTTCTGAATCCTTAGGTTTGCTTTTAAACCTTAAAATGAAACGAAGCAGGGAGGAGATGGAGGCATTTCCCCTTCGAGACGTCCTTCCTCCTTCTTCATTTCCTTATTTCCCCCTGTCCAGTTTCCTCCTCTACCTGTTGAAACACATTTACCACAACACAATTAGGGAAAAGCTGCAATTTTAATGTGTGAAGCTGTTACAATTTTAAACCATTGCTTTAAAAGACACAACAGACAACAACCAAGACGCAGAGCACATGTCCCTGCTGGCACCCGCAGCACCCAGCACCACTGGCCGCCCCGCTGGCACGTCTCACAGACACACTTCCACCCCAGCAAAAGTCAATGTTTGCATTTGTCACCTATATTTTTAGTGCATCCTAGACCCAGCCGTGCCTCAGCACAGCCTCGTGGGCCAGCTGCCACGTTAGAAAGGCACCTCCCAGCAAATGTTAGTTCGTTTCTGGAAGGGACAAGGAAAGAAGGATCCCCGAGTGAATCCTGGCAGGAGCTGGCTGCAGGGTCCCCTTTTTACCAGTACTTCAGGTTCTTCCAGTTCATGAGGACTACGTGCACAGCAAAGGCATTTGCTCTGCAAGTGGCCTCCCAGAACCTGACCTCTGAAATGCAAACAGCACCTGCACCAGCAAAGCACCCAGCACAGACCCTTTGCCCTGGGCTGACTGCACCACACAGGGACCACCATTGACTTTTAGTGGACATTTTGGCTCTGCTTCTAAGAGGACTTCAAAGAGTTACAAGTAATAGAGACCCATTTCCAGTTTTCCTTCATTTTGTCTCGACTGGCTTATCCCAGACTGCTAGGAAACTATTGAGTGCTACCCATCTTTGCTGTGGGCACTGCACAGCTCCAGTCATCTCCAGCAAAAAGGATTCATGCCTCTTTCTACATGAAGTGACAGTCACTGCCATTCAGTCCCACTCAGCATCAGCTCCTTTAAAAACAACCCCTAAAGCAGTTGTCCCCAGTTTGAAGCACATCCTGATGAAGCAGAGGGTATTGAATGGATGGAAAGCAAATAATGCTTTCTCTTTCCCTGTGCTGTGGGACGGATCATGCATTTCACAGGAGAATAAGGCCAACCTTCATGGTGCCAAAGTCCATGGCTCACCTCCTTCCTGGCTCCGCAGGGGAAGGCTGACTGCTCCTCCACCTCTCTTCTGCTCCATCCCCACCTCAACGCCAGGGACAGCGATACCACACGGGGCTGTTCTAAGGATAAAAGTCAGTTGTTGACTGGGAGGTGTGTTAGGGCAGCTGTGGTATCACACCCCAGGGTCACCCAGGGCTCTCAAGCAAGGAGGAAACCCCACAGCTCCTCTGCAAGGCAAAGAAATGGCATTATACCTCATGCTGATGGGGAATGGAGGCCAGAGGAATCAGAAGCACTGCTGGAAGGCAGGAGTAGGCAAGCACCGTGAGCAGGCCACAGACTTTCATTCCCAGCTCTCCACTGCATGATTTAGTAAGTGATTATGAAAAGTAAACCAAGTAAAGAAATAACTGGCTAAAGGTTATAAAAGCCTGAGCTCCCTTTGTCTTTCAGCCTGCCCAGGTAAATGTCATTATGGGAAAGGCTGGAGATCAGATACAGCCCTCAAGTTCAGGAGTTCTAACTGGGAGTGAAAGAAAAGGCTCTGAATGAAGATAACTGCAGCAGTTACGTGACTAATCCTAACATCTACAGACATTTTCCCCCTCTGCCTGTAAGAGTTCTGTGATCCTAAACATCTGTAAGGAAAACAAGCCTACTGTGGCTAGCAGATGACTAACTGCTTGCAAATAACACAGGTAACTTTTTATATATGACAAAAGCCTGAACTATCCAAGATAATAGCGACTGAACTATCCAAGATGACAGTGCCCCACTGAGGTCACTCAAAGCCGGGCACTTGAACACAGTTGCTCTTCCCAAAAGCAGCTGGGAACCAGACAACGCAAGAGCCCGGCTGTAGCATTCCCAGCTGGAATGAGCCTTCTGTTTGAGGAAACGCAAGTGTCAGGAGAGGGAATGGGCCAGTTGCCACCCCACAGCAATGCCTTCAGTGGCAAGGTCAGGCTGGATGGCCCCCGATCCCTCTGGAAAATAGACAGTCAAAATGCCAGCTCTACCCATTTGGCTTTTGGAGTCAGCTCAAAGTCAGCCTCACCCATCCCCATCTCCTCTTACACATCGCTCATTTTCTAATCCCATCAGGCAGACATTTAAGTATGTGCAGTCCATTTGTGCAGGCATCAGAAAGCCAAGCTCATTGGAGATCTCAGCCCAAAATGCACTCGAGAATGCACTATTAGCCACATATTACCCACAGCGCCTACGGGGAGAGGAACATTTTCAGTGAGTGCTGAAGGCAGACGCCTGTCCTGCACAGTTCAGGTTCCTCTCCCCACAGTTACCTCTGCTGTAGGTGAACAGGGTCGTCCTCCTCCCCATCCCTTTCCCTTTTCTGAGCCTCTGTGGGCACAGAGGTAGAGCCAAGTGAGCGGGACTCTTTCAACAGCAGCAGAGGCCATGGAAATCAGCCTGTGAAGGGCTTTAGGATGCTGCAAAGAAGGAAAGGATAAAGCAGATATTACTACAGCAGGATTGTTTACAAGATTTAAAAGTCCCGTGTTGCCATTGACAATTAACTATAGATCAGCAGAGGAACATCATTCTCTACCACAAGTATGCGTATTTTTAGACAACTATGTTCCACAAGTGTTTTGTAGGAAGCTTCTTTGCCTAAAGCATCTACCTCTTCCCAAGGCTCCCGTGGTACAATGTAAACCATGTTACTAATAACAATTGTTCCTGCATTTGTTTCTTGCACAGAGATCACAAAATACACAGTGGGTGTTACTTGGGAGTGTCTGTGTACTCCTGTATCTCCGTCCTTCTTATTCAACCTTGTAAAATAAAACAGGTAACTGTGAGTCTGGGGAGGGACACAGCCCTGCCCTGAAGAGATTACAGTCTCCATCGGATAATACACTGCAAATTAGACATGTGAGGCACAGACCTCAAACAAGCAGAAGGGGGAGAGCGGCTCGGTTTGGGAAGGAAAAGCAAGTATTAAGGAAGACCTTGAAGGAAAATGGAAAGATAAATCAGGAGGGGTAACCTAGGATTTTCAAAGACTAAGCAAGGAAAGAGAGAGTCCATACATCAAAACACTGAAAAATGGATTGATTGGTAAAGATGAGGTCAGACACTAAATTTAACTGATCTGGGGTCTGGCAGCTAAGCGTTCTTAAAACCACAGAGACACCAAGAAAAAAAGGAAAGGCAACCTTACCAACCTCCGAAAGTTCATCACCCACAAACACGTCCTGAGGTGACCATGAACTCAGCCCTGCTCACAGGTCTCCAGTGTCACCAGCAACTTTGCGTATCCCCACCAGCCACAGCAACATGCCACAAGCAAGGCAGTCCCAGACAAGGTGGGATGATGGCTTGCAGATGGAGCATCTCCTCCACGTGATGCCTAAGCTTGGCTCCTATTAACTGGGCTAGTAGAGTACCTCCCTAGTAGCTCATCAAGGCTATGCCTTGATTTGTAGACTCAGCTGAATGGGAACAAGCACAGCAGTGCAGCAGACGTGTTGTAGTGAGGACACTGCGAGATGTAAGTGAGGCAAGGGCAGGGAGAGGGGACAGCGTTTATTAGGTCAGCTGGTGTACTTGGAGAAACTACACATGCTTCAGGCACATAAGGCTTCCTTAGGTCTGAAATAGAAGCGATAACCTTAGAGCTAAATGCAGGTTGAGAATAATTGTTCTGAGTTAAACTTCATCGTATTAATGAATTAAGCAATTTGTGAGAAAGGGTGATTGGTTCCTATTGATCAAAGGGAGGATACTAACCAGAGGACAGCTGATAATGTCACTTATGGCGCAAAGAGAGAGCAAGAGAGACAGAAGACAGGAATATTTATTGCCTAGGGATGGCTAGTGGCAGCAAAAACTGTAACATAATATGCAGTCAATATCTGTGTGATTTTTATATCTTAGAGTCAGGCATTTTAGTCTCAGATTGTCTTTAGAATCACCATCGGATACCTTCCTTGAAGGTCAGGAGGGAGGGCTCAGAAATGCAGTGGTTGGTCTCTTACCCAGTGTTTCTGTCCTTTACCAGTTTGTACAAGTTCATTTGAGTTGGTCGCCTGCAGTTTGCCACCAGACTGTCAAATCTGTCACGCAAACCACACAGACAGGAGGGCGGTGGGAGGTCCTGGTCCTTCTGTATCACTTAGAAAGCTGACTCCATGAAGCAGCTCTGGTTCATTGCCACACTTCTGAGTTCATCACTGCCCTTAGAGATCTTGTTTCCTGTGAAGCGTCACTCCCAGGGAAGCTCTGATTTCCTAAGGATCTAAATTTTCACATACAAATTCAGTTCTTAGTGGACTTGCAGAGAAAAGCCAGAACATTCTGAAGCCTGTTTAACTTGATACTCAGAAGATAAATTAATATGGTGCAAGGTTGATTACTATTTACAGTTACCTCATGAATTCTAAAGTATTATTGGAGGCCTGAATTCTAATTTCTTCAGTGACTTGGTTTGGCAATACTGAAATGAGTCTTTAAGGACAGCACAAATGGAGAACATCCTTATGTGTGACTCAAAAACGAAATGCCAATTGTTCTGAAGTAAAATATGACCTATTGCTCAAAGCAGTTCATAAATATAATGTGAGATTCACAAATATCTGCAAAGTATTTTCAACAGTGTTAACATTTTCAGCAGTGGTAGTTGGGAATTTTGCATTCTTCCCAAATGGAGGTGATCTATGTACCTGACTAATCCTGAGAGACACAGCCAGACTGGGAACCCATCGGCTTCAAAAATACACTGCAGTGGTATTGTAATACAATACAACATCTGAGATTCAGCAGGGAGTTAAAGGCTCAAGTATGGGCTTAAAAACACCACAGCTACTTTTGACAAGGCCAAAGCAATCTGTTGGAGACTGGGCAGACAGCTCACAGCACAGCTGCTGGCAGAGCCTAGCAGCCCTGGGTGTGCTGGCACAAGAGATTCTTAACCCTATGGTCTAATGAAAACCAAAGGGGAATTTGTTTTAGTTTGTACAATCTGTATGCAAGTCTGATTTTGACCAGCAGCAACTTCAGTGAGTAGGCTGGTGCAAATTTTCACATGATTTGTACTGGAGGAATATATACTTCCATATCTGTAGGAACACCCACAGAAATTCTTCTAGAGAATCACAATAGTCGGTATGTGAGATCTCACTGCTCTGGAGGCCTTCTGCTCTGATGGTGGGTGAATCAGACGCTATACACCATGGACAATGAGAATCAAGTGCTTCACTTCTACATGCATGCCTTGTTTCAAGATGTAAAGGTCATCTAATACACGTCAAGTGAATTGTACAATGGAGGAGGCTCTCAAAGGCCACAGAGACTCAAGGCAGCAAAAGGTGGGAACAGTAGGTCAACCTCAGATGTTCCTGTGGCACATAGAAATTGGATGAAGTTGTTTATTGACAGCCAGCTAATGTCTGACACTTGCTAAAAGTGAATTTCAATGGAGATAGAGGAGGAAAACAACACAGAAAAGGGCAGTGGCTTGCCCAGGGTCAGATCTGGAACATGGGGTGCCTGAGTTGTCATCTGTTATGCCATGCTCTTCACTAACTTGCCACCTCTCATTTCCATCAGCGTGACT